GAAAGGCCCACATGAGCCAGCGGCGTGAATAAGGATCACGGTTTCAGTGCCAGGACAAAAGGACCGTCCCCCCCACCCACCCCGAACACACACAAACCTTTCTGCACATCTCCACATGGCTGCCATTTAACTCCACAGACACAAAAGAGGGCCCCCGTCACAGAGCGGCGGCTCTCTGTTGACGCCGCCGCTCTTAAAGGGAGCGAGACGTCAGCATCCGCGGGGTCGCAATGACTCCGAGGACCATAACCCACCGCGCCGCAATAAACAACAGCCGAGGGAAGTCCCGGTCCGGCCCGGATTGACAAACGGCCGGCGGAGACAAGCGAGCGAAACGTGAGCCGACGTGCCGCTTGTCCATCGTGGCCATCGACACCGCTCGCCGCCATACGCTCGCTCTCCGGGACTTTGGCTCAACACTTGGGTGTCAGAGCCGGCCCGTTTATAAATAGGCGAGCGTCTTTTCCAAGCAGCGGCAGCCGAAGGCCGTCTGTGCTCCGGATCGAATGTCGCCGCTGTGATGTGCGATTTTCTTTCACTTGTGTGACATCTCACGGGGTTGCGAGCCAATTGAAAATCTGCTTTCCTGCTTAAAACATTGTTCAGTGTCGAAAATGCTTTTTGGGAGTTGCTTTTTCTTTTCTAAGTCTGTCACTAATTGACCTATTTTGGACCAATTATCCTATGATGTGTCAGTCTCAAGAAACCGAACAATTGCATGAATTCCATTAAAAAAAATATTAAAAAAAGAGGGCTGCTTTTCACGTGGAGTCACCTAGTGAGAAATCGTATGTCGCTGATCGATTCGGAACTGACTTTCGGCAGTCATATATCAAATCAATCATTAAACAGCCTTGTACCATCTGAAAATCTAATCCAGAGTGAAGGACTGCTTGCATCGAGCAGACAAGAGGGACCTTATCCGTGCTTTTATCTCCAGCAGAATTGATTATTGTCACGGTCTTCTGACTGGATTTACACAAAGAGCATCAAATAGCTGCAGATCATCCAGAACCCTCAAGCTCGGAATCTGACCAGTACCAAAAAAAAAAAAAAAAAAGTGAACATATTACTCTAGTCCTAAAGGCTTTTCACTGGCTCAAAGTCAGCTGTGAAATAGATTTTAAAATTCTGTTATTGTAGAGTTCTGAGGTCGACACACACATGGTGAAGTGGCATTTAGTTGTTATGCTGCACGCAAATGGAGTAAGTTGGCAACAGAATCCATTAAGTGGAAGATGCTTTGGCTGCCGTAAATTAGTGATGGGACGAACTGTGGCGAGGCGTGTCCAGTGCGACTTTATTTAATTTAATTTTATTTTTTTGAAAAAACGACGAGCTGCGCTGTGTGACATGACACGAGCACTCACACAAACGTCATTTTCAAAATGACTACACTACAGCGCGCAGTAAACAAACACCATTCTGATTAGCGATGGCGGGATACACGTATTACATTACCTAATGAGTTTTTTAAAAAAAAAAAATCCGTAGCGTGCGCTCGTAGTCCACATTATATTCCGCGTGTTCCCGTCTCCAACTTCACTTGACAGCGATGACTTCAAACTTTATTTTTGTCCTGTTTGTACTTTAAAGTGACCCTAAACCATGGGCATCTTTGACTATTCCGCCAAGGAAGTCCCCAATGACTGAGTCACTGAGTGCGTCTGCGACAAATGCGTGCGCAGGAACCACGGAAGCGGCTAAACATGGACATTTTTGTGACCGCTGATTTTTGTGGTCAACTTTGCTGAGTTAGACGATTTTTTTTTTTTTTTTTGACAGTCAACCACATGAAAACGCAAGACAAATCCCAACAAGTAATTGAAGTGAGTCAAACCCCATAATGGGCAAAATAGTTTCAGAACTGCTTTAAATAGTTAAAAAAAAAAAAGGGGGGTGGGGGTAATTTTTGAACAAACAAACAAATGAAGACGACCCTTTCCAAAGTTCAAAATCAAATCCGGGAAAAGACACCCTTCAGATTGAATGTAGGTGCTTTTTTGTGTCTTTCCATTCTCCTTTCACCATTGTTTTGGTTGAACACAAGATCGAATCCCGGAAAGGGGGTCAAAATCCAGAACGCAACAAAATAGCTGCAAGTGCACACAACTGACAATTCGCTCCACTAAAGCCTTCATTTATCCCACCCAATTGAATAATTAACAGTTTCTTAACAAAGGATCCTGGGAGAGGCTGCAAAACACTGCCCCCACACTCCAAAACACACACATTTCTTTGAAACGCGACAGATGTGGTGCAGCTGTGAACTTTTCCCACATCTGGCAGCGAAATCTGTCTTTTTTTGATCCCGATTAAATCGGAGTGTTTGCGCTGTCATTTTTTTTTTTTTTTTAATTTGTTGCACCAGAAACAGGAGACCTCCTGTGTCAAATGAGCTCTTCCACAATGATTATGCAGTAGTGGCAAAGCGCTAAGTCACTCCTGTTTAAACTGACACCACTTAAGGGGTATCCAAAAGTTACAAAGGATGACTAAGTCCAGCCAAAAAAGGAAAAACAATACATAGCGTGGTGAATGTAGAATGAGAATCAAGTCGGATATTCTCGAGGAAAAAAAGTTGAATGTTTTTGAAATCTAGATTGAATTTGATGAGCTGTGAGGCTCTTTCTTGATTAAAATTTTTTTTAAAATAGGACTTTAAACTGGCATTGTTATGACTTCAATCTTGGAAATGTTTTACTGAAAAAAGAAAATAGTAAAAACTTCTTGATTCTCGTAATATTATGACATTGGTCTTAAAAAAAAAACCAACTATATATGACAAATATGTCTTGAAAAGTATGCAGTATACAACAGGTTTCTCAATAATGTTTCCTTTTTTCCCCAAAAAAATTGAATTTTTGAGAATGCCATACTTAATTCTGAAAATATACATATTTTGCCATCTTAGTACAGTTTTAATAAAATGATACCACTTTTTTTTTTTAATGTGACTAACTTTTTTTCCTTCAAAATATGTTTTCATGAACCACGAAAAACTTTTTTTTGGTCTTGACTATATGCAACTATAAACCCGGTAAAACTAAATCACTACATTCAAGCACTTTGTTCTCATACTATGACACTTTTATGGTCGTATGGTTACGACTTTTTCTCTGACAGTGTTATTTTGTTCCGAATTTGGGAAAAAAAAAAGTTAAATTGAGAGGCTTGAAGCTTGACTTTATTTGCTACTTTGGGGATGGCGAGTGGCATTCAGCTGGCCAGGTTAGCAGATGACGCCGGCCAACTTGTGTCTGCCGAGGCCACCACAGTGGACCTTTTGTCTGCAACGGCGAAACCCGAGGAACGCTACATATGGCCCACTAAAGACTCGTCTTGTTTGCTAGCCAAATGTAATCACCTGCACTTGACTGCGTTTGGGAGGACTATCCGCCATTGTGCGCCGTCCCAGGCCAGCAAACGACCGTCAGCGTCATGTACAGCGACTTTGATTTCCGACGCAAAATCCTCAAACTCTTCCAAGGCTTTCTTTCACTGTGTCAAGTTGGTACAAATGCCGAGATAAGACACCTTTAGCGCTAGCCAAAGACACCTTTAGCGCTAGCCAAAGACTTCACATTTCGCAACGGGTGTACTAAAATGTGTGAAGAAAATATAACGGGCGTTGAGCGTTTTCATTTGGTGACCAAAACATCTTCCATGACAGAAAAGCGCTACAAAATGTTCGCCGCTCAAATCTAATGCTAGCAGTTTTTAGGGATGGGCGATTACCGAGAACTGGTTTCAGTACGGACTCATACCAGCCTTATTTTAAGGTATTGGATCGTGGTGGATGCTGCCGATACCGGCCTCCGATACTTAAGGGAAAAGAAAAAAAATCTGACATCGAGCAAGCCCTGTACTGCAGCAGTGTGTGACGCATCAGTGAACCATCTCTTGCGTCACAAAAAAAGCTGTGCTCACAATTTTTTTTTGTCATTGTGTTACATGAAATTTGATCAACCGAAAGTATGAGAAGTATCGGTACTCGGTATCGGAGAGTGAACCATATTGGTATTGAACTGAAGAAAAAAAAAAAAAAAGGGAGGTATCGAACATCCCAAGTTGTTTTACATTTTACGGTGTCCGTGAACTGCATTTTGAAACCAGATGTAGGTCCTCGGTACAACCGCGAGTTGGCACACACAAACACACATGGGTCCATTAAAGGGGATGTTGTCACTTTTCAGAGCATACAGTACCGAGTCCTGACAGAAAACCCGAGCGTAATTTCTTGTGCCGCATGACCACATAATCGCAACCTTGAAAAATTAAGATATCAATTTTTTTAATTTTTTTTTTTTTTAAACAGGACCTTATTTTATTTTTGGGATTTTAAAAAAAATCATTTTCTGCTAGCAACCACTTCAACCCTTTCATGCACCTTGTAACATTTGTTCTTTGAAAATTGGGAGTGATGTTGTGAATAGTTGATATAATAAACACAAAAATAATAATTTGCAATGGATTATGTCTTGTTCAAGATGTGCATAGCAACATACGGGGAGCGGCACAGCAATTAACATGCGCAACCAAATACTCCTCCCGACTTTATCTTTAGGCCAATTCGAAGTCAATATGATTGTGACATGACATAAATCAAATGACAGTGACAATGGGAGCACATTTAATTTGATTTGGTTGAACTCCTTTCTGTCAAACAGGTCATGAATATTTTGGGGACGTGTGGCTTGCGTTTCCTTGCCGTTAAGATGACTATGGAAATACATGGATCTTTTTATGATGTAAACAGGGGTGCACAACTGAAGCTTTGCTTCCTTCTGCCCCTTCTTGGACTTGCGCATGATCAAAGTGTGACTTTTTTCTTTTTTTCTTTTCTCTATTGTGTTGCTTTGATTCTTGTGATGGTTAGAGACAAATAAAAATCAAATCAACTCGGGCATATGAGGGGTGACTGGATACATTTCAAACCCCCCCGCCCCCCATCTCCCACCTGCAGGTTTGAACAAAAGGTGGCGAGTTGACGCCCTTACTTGAGGAAGTATCTCTGGCCCGAGGCAGTCTTGGCCATCTCCCATCCCGGAGGCAGCGGCACATCGTCCGGGATCTCGTAGGACGACTGCCGCAGGTGCTGGGGGGAGGCGGCGGCCGCCGGCATGCCGGACAGGGAGCCCCCGGAGACGGTGCCCATCTGCAGGGAGGCGGGCGAGGAGTGGGCGCGCACGTGGTGCGGAGTGAGCGCGCCGCCAGTGCCCGCGTCCGTGCTGGCCTGCGAAGTGGCACACAAACAAGAGGTGCGGGTTTAGGGGTGCCACCTTTACGACAAAGTGTTGCATGTGTGACGCTAGTGGTACACGGGCACCCTCTAGTGGTATACAATAGAATTGCTGATTAAGTGGATGCACGTAGAGCAATACCGAAATAAATACATTTAAAATAAACCCCCAAAAGGACAAGTATGATATCAACGGAAAAAAATGAAAACAAAGGGCATCTTCGCTAAAATTAGAGTTCGCTTTATAAACGTGAGATGTATTTCAGTTAGTTTTCATTTTGCATCAAGCATTTTGTTTTTAATTCTAGTTTGCTCACGAAAATGCGGTTTTCCTATTTTAGTTTAAATGATTTGGCTAGTTTCCATTATCCGTTTCTGCATGGAATTCACTAATTAGCCCAATGTGTTACTATTATGGTGTTTTGTTTTTGCATTGTTGGCAGCATTTTAAAAAAATAAAAAAAAAGCTGGTTCTTTTACTTGCATTTATACATCAACATTACGTGACAGATAGTTTTGGTCCAAACCAACGACCACATTTTGATTTAGCACTAAATGGTTGCAGATTGTACATCGATGGGATGCAAATGACCTCCTAGCATCAAAACTCTATTTTTAAAAATGCGACAAAACAGCCAGTCACTTTTTCCCCTCCGCTCATTCTTTATATTCAAATTACAACTTTATATCTATGTTAGGAAGCTGTGCGTGTGGAGGCAAGCTTGTTGTCGGCCTTGGAAGGAAGGGAAAAGAAAGGAAGGGAAGGGGATTGCAGGCAGAAAGGGATGCAGGAGGAAGGACGGAGGCAGGGAGGGGAGAAAGGGGGTTGGGAATTGGGGGGCCGAGGGGGGTGGTGGGGGGGATCACGCATGCGCATTGGCCAGCCAACTTCCAAAGGGGAGCAGCAACAGTTGTGGGTATGAGATGAGGGTGGGGGAGGAAAAGAAGCACAAACAGGGCAAAAAATGAGATTGGTGGGCTGCAAAATTGCACATCTTTTATAAAGATAGCAAAAATGTACTATTTCCAACATCAACATGCAATCTGACAAGTCACTGTCATTTAGTAAACGCAATTTAGCCTCCACTATTTTATTTGACTTTTTTTTTTGACGTTCTAAAAACATCACCCAAAAAAAAAGTGGGCTTTAGGTGCTGTGCTGAATGTGTTAAGTAAATTTGGCAAGTGCGGAGGGAGTAAAATGGGCCGAGGGGGGAAGTGACACCCCCCCCCCCTCCCTAACAGGACTGGGCCTGCTGTCTGGGTCGGAGCCGACACCGAGCCCAGCCTCGGAGGCCCCCATAAGTGGGGGGCGGGGGGGGCGACTTACTTGTCTGGAGTGGGACTTGGGCTCTGGCGGCTTGAAGAAGGAGTCGGGCAGCTTCCTCATCCTCATGGGCACCGAGGGGGGCACGATGGTGTTTTTGGGGTTCATCACGGCGTTAAAGAGAGCCTCCAGGTCGGTCTCCGAGTCGCCCCGGACGTGGACGATCTGGTGTCCGGCCGGAGGGTTGTGCTGGCTCGGATCCATTGTCCCGAAAAAGTCTGCCGAGCGAAAGTTAAGGGGGAAAACAAAAAAAAAACAACCCCCGAAGAAAAAAAAAAATCAAATCCCGAGCTCGTTTTCCTTGGATTTCACGCAGCAGGAAATGTGCAAAAAAAAAAAACAACAACAACAACTGTCGTCGCTGCTCAGTAAAAGTTATCCAGGTTCATCTTAAACTTTCACCTCACGAAAAAGTTGTTTGTTAGCTGTCGAAGTGTGCACACAAAGTCGACGACTTGCGGTTGTCTCTTGCGGGCATTCTCCAGGAGGCAACAAAGCGCATATCTGGAACTCTTGCTGTCGTTCCGATCCAAAAACTTTTCCACTCCAAACAAAATGTCGACGCGCAAACGCCCCCCCAACGAGTCCCAAATGTTGTAGTTTCGGCCCAGAAATGAGCCCGCTCGTTGCTGGCTGGATAAATCTCCGCTGCTCACTTTGGAGGAGGGAGAGCGAGGGAGGAAAAAAAAAAAGTTTCGCCCCAGTCGAGTCTAAACTTTGGGCAGGACATAAAACTTTATGACTCATGGGACGGCTGCTCCAGGGGCGGGGCTAGCCTCCAACCGGGATAGGGGCCTTTAAAGGTACAAACTCGGGCGGGGGGAGGCGGGGGCGCAGCTTCCAACTCTATCAACTTTCTTTTCTGAATCATTCAGTTTTGAGATTGTTATTTATTTGGTTGTAAAACACTGGGATAAGCATAAAATCGTTCAATATCGTTTTTCAAGTGTATAGATATTTATCTTTAAATAATCATCAGCATGAATAATTCTAATCACTTTTCATATCAAATGAAAAAAAAAAGATTATAGTCACTTTGGCATGCACCATTACAACTGGTAGTTTATTCAAGCGCATATTCACTTGTGTAAAAACTGAAACGCACAAAACCAAAAATCAAAACCAAAAAAAAAAATCCACTTGGATAATAAATTGTTTGGTATTAGCTATGACAATTTATAAAAGCATCATCAAGTGTGTGGACTCTTTATTTCTATGCTAAACTATCAACAAGCCCGACTACAGTCCATTTAGCGTATTTACTTCACTTATGTAAAAACTAATCCACACAAATACAGTCAATTTGAACTCCAAATCAATCCATTTGGATGATAGCCTGTTTGGCGTTAGCTGTTAAATTTCTAATAGTTTATTGACTCTTGCGGGAAACTATGAGTGGGCATGAATATTTGCATTTGAAGGGTTAACGATAGCCTATTTGTCATTAGCCCTTACAAATAATAATTTGCTTATTCAAGTGTATTGACACTCATGTTCAACGTAAAGATAAGCAAAAAAAAAAAAAAAGTCCACACACACACGTGCACACAAGCTTGACTTCATTATTATAAAAATAGTTGTTGTTCTGTCCAATGCCCAAAGGACCCACCCGGAAGGACCTCCTGCGGGTGAAACAACAGTGACATGTGGCCCATTTGCAAAGTGTGACACCAAAACGCCCCAAATGTGCGCGCCATGTGTTATGCTAGCTTGATCCTCAACACACGATACGGCGTCAAATTCTGCCCTTATATGCATGAGTGAACAAGGAAAGTTCTAGAATTGATGTTTGGATGACCACCCGTGTGCAGAGAAAATCAAAGCACAAATTTCAAAATATTTGGACGGTTTTGCTTTGACTTCTTGGTCGCCGTGAGGGCCGCTCAGCGAATGTGGGTGGGCCGGATGCGGCCCCCAGACCGTACCTTTCTGTGTGTAATGGATTTCTGTGGTGCCACAATCACTTTTCATTGTCCAAAGTTAAAGTAGGGAGGAGGAATTGGTTATGATTTCGTTTACTGGCACGCCAGTTCCAATGTGAAGGAATGCACTTCAATTATGCCCCCCCCCCCTCCCCGGGGTAAATTGGCACCCCGTTTGAAAACCACTGCCACAAAAAATATTGTTAAACTAATACATCTTGAGAGTGTCAACCCATTACACTGGTCAACAGCAAAATTTTAATCCGATATGTCGATGTGTCGCTAAATGTACTTTTAACACCGATTTAAAAGATGGTTTACTGTTTTCATAGCATGTCAGGTTTTTCAGCGGGGTTTTTTTTTTGTTTTCAAATTTGCCCCCTAACTTTATGCTTATAGCTACAGTATGATGTTGCGGATTTTATGATTTATTTTTACCTTTTTAATCTTAGATTTTATATTAGTGTTATATTATTGTTGTGACAACCTGATGTGCTGGAGAAAAAAAAAAAAAACAAGGGCAGATTCCGAGTCAGCACAAAAAATTAATCTAGAAACGTTGACCTACATCTGTGATTTAAAAAAATAATAAATCAATTTTTTTTTTTTTGGGTAAAACCCTCATTTACTGTACGTGCCACCGTGTACAAAATATTCCATTCCAACACATCCCCTCCTCCTCACCCACCCCCCCAAAATCCCCCCTTTCTCACAAGCGTGACACATAATGGCACTATTTCTCCTCTCTCTTTTTTTTTTTTTTTTTTACAGTCTTTCATGAAAAGTAGATCCATGGAGTTCCCACAATTGTCATGCTAATGAGCCCCCTCTTCCATTGAGAAATCATTTTGTCAAGATCCAGTGTTTCTGGACGCACAGGCTCTGTTTCCCATACATCTCGCTGAATGAATGATTATGATGGAGCCCTCTTAAAAGGCCCGAAACAATGTCAAAGCAGATTAAGGGCTTGGGCCACCAATCACATGCTCATTTTTTTGTGTGTGCGTGTTCGACAAGGGTGTATTCATTATTACATGCTCTCAATTGGATCTTTGTAGAACAATGTGTAGGAGTGCAAAAAGTGATGATTTTTTGCACTCGGCAGTGATGCGAGCGGACCACCCACTTGGAGGTGGTCTCATGTTTGGTCAACATCTTTTCAGGCATCTGTCCCCCCCGCCACCCGCCTTCCCAGCTCCACCTCCCCCGACTCCTCCATTTAAAGCTGTGCGCTGTCCTCCAATGTCCTCAAGATGTATTACTGTCAATCAATCTCTGGGTCACTTGTGTTACGATGCCTGATGCGATGGTATTATGGGGGGGGGGGGGGGAATCCCTTTAAGGCACAAAGGGGAGATTGGCTGCCCCCTACAGTCCATTATGTTCGGTTCGCTTCAATCAGGGGCGTGTTGCCAGAAAATTTTCAGCGGGGTGGCCGAGGTGACGCAACGCCTCAGCGAGAGTGCCCGCGTAATCGTTTGCAGTCTTGTCGCCGAGAAGGCATTGTTTTGTCATATATTCCGGTCTCAAATTCAGACGGCCCCCTATTGAGTGGGGCTGTCCCTAATATTCTGGCCGGCGACTTAACCTGTCATTGCAAGCCAAGCATGACAACGCAATGTGCACTTGCACGTCTCAATAATAAACACATTGCTAAATGGATACCTGACGACCTAATTTTTGTTTTGGATCTGCTTAATGTTATGTCACTAGTGAGAAGAAACAAGTGGCCCAATCCTGCTATGATTGTCGACTTACTAGTAGACTGTACGTCAATTTCCAGGTAGAGAGGAAGCTTTACCTTCTTTCCATGCAGGGTTTTTTTTTTTGTTTTTTTTTGTAAGTCTTCAATGGACTGTGACAAAACGCTGGAGATTAGGGCCCCGACGCCACGCAAGCTGCAACTTGCAACCAAGTGGAAACGTCTTCCCTTATTTTCCGTCTGTCTTTCTTGGGTGTTGTCCCGGCCCGGGGCTTAAATGTCACGAAAGCTCACCGCCTCCCGTTAGCGATAAAGGAGCACCGTGCAACAAATGTGCTACCGTGTGCTACTGAATCACTTACCGGAAAGTGGAAAAAAGTGATGAGATTTTTTGGGGGGGATGGGATTCAGTGCATGCACACAAAAGAGCAGAGTAGTTAAAAATAAAAAAAAGTGTCATCAATATGGAGAGGAGCCATTAACACTTTCGGTGGGCTTCCTCTATCTTTGTTTTTTTGGGGGGTACAAGTCTGAGCAGGCCGACGATCGGGCAAAACCAGACATGTCGGAGGAGGAGCGACATAAACCCCCCTTCCCGTAAGTGGCTGATAAAGCTCGAACCCCCACTCACCCCCTGCGCTGCCATTATTGGATCACGCAAAAAGCTTCATAACCTGTTACACGAGTTGTATACGAAATACTTTTGGTTATCTTTTTCAGCAACGAGTGCCTCGAAGCATTTTTTTTTTTTTTTTAGAGTCAAAGAAAGTTCAAATGTAGGTTTCAGCTTGTTATACACCAGAACGGAACGGATATACTTTGTCAATGCCAAAAGCAGAAATAATCCTTTCTGGTGAAGTGAAAAAGTAGACAACAGTAAATCTTTTCAGAAACCTGCCATTATTTAATGACTCTAACCTCAAATAATATTCGGATGTTCTAGTAGGCTGTTCCCGACATTTTTTTTCCCACTTTTTAGCAGCAACCTGGAGATGGTGTCGTCACACTAAACCGCTGTTCACAACACAAGGAAAAAAAGGCCGGATGCATGATTCCTTTCAGGTGTTGTTGCAATCGCATTTTATGATGTCTGCCATTGAACATTTCAACAAGGGTGTGTAGACTTTTGATATCCACTGTGAATATTGATGATCGATGATCACTTAAAAACTGTAGGTTTCCGCAAGGATTTTCACACGTGTCATGTAGAAAAAAAAAATTGTGACGTAGTGCTACTGAGGTTAGCAAGCTGGAAACAGGCATTAAATCGGAATGAGGCACTTGGACCTGTAGTGTAAATCCGGTTTGTTTGTTTTTTTTAAATGAGGGAAGATCCTCATTGCTGCCGAGTGATGGCTTGAACTTCCAAAGTTAATGTGGAAGGAGGGTTCGATGAGGCTTACGCTTGCCCTCCTGGTTATTCACGTTCCTTCACGAGGCACACGCTTCTTCACCTGGAAGCTAAGTGCTACGTAGCGCCATTCGGCTGCCTTCTTGCTGGGATGGAAGACTTCGGTCCAGGTGCCGGTCAATGAAAGCCACCTTTGCGGTACAGCTGGCAGTTGAGCCGGTCCAGGGACTGAAAGATTCTCTGCTCCTCAACGGAGATGGACGTGGGCGCCGGGTGTCGGCGCAGGTACTGTTGCTGGTACTGCTGCGAGGTCGTCCTGTGCGCTTTGCCGCCACGTTCCTCCGGCGGACCGTAAGCGTACATGTCGGTCAGACGGCGCTGGCTGGCAGTTTTCGCGCCTGTGACAGAAAACTTCATGACGTCACTTGCCAGTTTGGACGGTGACTATTTTGTTGCCGACAAACCTTTGTTTGGGTGATCTGCGGAGTACCCTTTGGGAGATAGGCCGACTGGATTCGTAGCCTGGAGACATGTGATCTAGAATGTTTACGAAGCGTGTTAGAGTGCAGAATCTTATCGACGGGCACCACTCAATGGCCACAGCAAAAGAATAAAACGTTATCGTTGGTTTCAAAAATGTCATTGAAATGTGAACATCTAAAAAAAAAAAGACACCTCCTTACCTTAAAGAATTCAGGAGGTTTCTTATTGGTTGAACCAGAAGGCCATCGGTTCTGATCCGCACCGGATTTGTTCGT